TCTCAGGAAACTTGTTAGAAATGCAAAATTTTGGGCCCCACCCTAGACCTACTGAATCAGAAACTTTGGGGATGAGCCAGCTTTCAGTCTCAACAAGCCCTCCAGGTGGTTTAATGGATGCTAAAGTTGTCAAACCACTGCCCCAGAGAACCTCATGTACGTGAGTGCCTGAGGACGTGTACAAGAATCCTGACAGTTGCACTGTTTGTAAAAGGCAAAAACTAGAAGCAGTCCGTCAGAGAAGAATGGATAAACTGTATTGTATTCCTGTAGTGAAGTACTGTACAGTAGTGCACCTGAGTGGATTTTAGCTGCATGCATCACTGAGGATAAATGTCAGGAATATCATATTGAGGGGAAAAAAGCTACTTACACAAGAATGCATATAGTATTTTTCCATTTTGTTAAGTTTTGAAACATGCAAAAAAACCCTGCCTGTTGTTAGGACTACAGATATGGTAAAGTAATAAAAATTACAAACACAGAATTCAAGTTAGTAGGTAGCTCTGTAAGAAGAGGGAAGGTGATAGGGACACCAAGAGGGAATTCAAAGGTAAGAATTTAATTTTCTTAAACTGTGATCTGTACTCAGGGTTTTGTTATATTATGCTTAATACCTTGCACATATTAAAATTATTTTTTGTATCGACCAAATATTTAAGAAACAAACATCTATGTGTTTTTCTTTTTGCAAAGTCTGTCTACACAGGGACTATTCAGTTTGTATGAAAAAGATATGATGGGGGTGATGGTGGTCAAGATATGTTCTTGCAGGATTATGATATAAAAGTACTTTCAGGAATAGAGATATCAAACAGTAGATTATTTTAGAAAATAATGATGGTTAATACTTGCTGAGTGCTTACCAGGTACCAGGCACTGGTCCAAGGACGTTATGTGCTGAGTTTATACTCTATTAACTGAGGATTGAACCTCACAGTGAACCTACAGGGGTCAGTACCACTCCTGCTTGTGTTTCACAGAGGACGAAAGGTGCCCGTGGGCACATAGGTGAAAATGAGAGAGGCCGTCTGACTCCTAAACACTCCGTCAGAGATGGTCAGAGGGAGAAGACAACCAGACAAAATGGAGTTATGCCCGAGAGTGTTGCAGTTAAACGAGAAAAAAAGGAAAAGTCAAAATAGGAATGGGAGTGTGGAGGACTGGTAAAGGGTATCTTTATCCCCATTTTAGAAGTTACTTTCTTTATGTTAGTAGGTTTGTTTTTAAACCGGTGTACATCACTATCATTCTAGCAGATGCTATGCCCCTAAAGCAGAAAAGTAATTGCATTTTGTTTTTAGTTCTAAGGACTGCATCTTCCAGTTCATTAGAAATTGGTAGTATCACACCATAGGATTTGGGAAATCTTACTTATTTGCTTAGGCAATTGGTTGCTAAAGAGGGTACTTTTGGGAAATCTACCTTTGCCTGTTTTTTTTCTTTTCCAGCCTTGGATACTTTTTTTTGAGTCATAATTAACCCATATTATGAGGACTATTTCTTAAATAAACATTGCTTATAATGTAAACCTTATTTTAAGCCATTGTGGTATGAGTTACTCCTTGAAATTAACAAGTATAGGAAAAATTAAAAGATGGTTCCAGAAGCCCTAAGTCAAATTATGTGAAACCAAATAGCACTACTATTTTTGTTTGATGTTCAATTCAGAGTGCTAAAATCGTCTAACCCACGTGAACTGTCAAGTATTTGTAATTATGTAATGTCGTATGTTCTGGCGGAGGCAGCCCCTAGCTAAGAAGTTGACAGCCTATGAGAGTCCTTCCATAGCGGGGATGTCTGCGTTTCAGACACATGTGGTGCATGTCAGAGAACCCTCATGGGCAAATGTAGAGCATAGGCTTCTTCAAACAGATTTTAGGTACTTAAGCTCTTCTAGCTTCAAAATCTCATTCTTAATTCTCAGTGCTTTTCAATGTGTTCGATATTCAGACTTCTCTCTTATTTTCTCTTATATGCTTTTTTTTCCCATTTAAAAAAACCCAAAAAGTTTTAAATAAGAACAGGTAAGGTAATAAGCAGCCTAGTAGGGAAAAGACACTGTTGAACCCAACTGGAATAGTAACCAGTGTAATCATGCAATGTAACCAAAGCCCAGCAGGTTTGTCAGTGACTAAATATAATGGAAACTTGGTGTTTTAAACCTAGAACAAACAACAAACCACTTCTTTCAAAGTGTATAATTCACTTGTGATTTCTGCTGATTGTGAATTATGGACCAGAATTTGATATATAATTATTGGATCAATTATTATAGAATGAGGACTCACAGTTATAGGAGTTCATATAATTATAAAACCATTAGAATTTAAACTAGGTGGTAATGTACTTTTAAAAATAGCTTAGAAAATTTAGATCATTCAAGGAGAGGTGGTAGAAATTACAGTCTTTCAAAAAGTGAGACCAAATGGTTTTCATTAAGAATCTTCAGGGCCCATAATCTGGTTTTCCGTATGGGTGGTGTTTAACACCCTAGGATTTCAGGGTGGTAGGTTGAGGCAGTGTTTGCTAAAAGTGACATTCAGAATAATTTTTTGTGACAAATTATGATGTAGGCGGATGGTTCTGGAATCCATGAGTGACAACCCTGTTTAGTACAGTACCTTTACTCTCCTTCCTGAGGCACCTTTCTTTCTTCTCCTTTTCCCCCCTCTTCTCCTCCACACTTCAGCTCTATGTCTGGTAAATATATGTTAAGTTTATGTAATTTTTTTTGAAGTTAGGAGGGACTTGAATCCAGTGGGTCCCGAATCTGGCTCATCAGAATCATTCAGGAAGCTCTTTAAAACTACAGATCTTTGTCCTCACCTCAGACTTAACTTTTTTTTTTTTTTAAACAGTTTTATTTTTATTTTATTTATTTATTTATTTTTGTAAGGAAGATCAGCCCTGAGCTAACATCCATGCTAGTTCCTCCTCTTTTTGCTGAGGAAGACCAGCTCTGAGCTAACATCTATTGCCAATCCTCCTCCTTTTTTTCTCCCCAAAGCCCCAGTAGCCCCAGTAGATAGTTGTATGTCATAGTTGCACATCCTTCAAGTTGCTGTATGTGGGACGCGGCCTCAGCGTGGCCAGAGAAGCGGTGCGTCGGTGCACGCCTGGGATCCGAACCCAGGCCGCCAGTAGCGGAGCATGCGCACTTAACCGCTAAGCTACGGGGCCGGCCCTCACCTCTTAATCAGACTCTCTCCATGGGTGGGACCAAGGGATTCATGTTTTGATGATTAGCTAAATGTGTAAATGGTTGATATTGTTCGTAATTCCCTTGTTTTACAAATGTGGAAGTAATAGGTCTCGGTATGCTCTTTCAGGGTTAGTTGCATTTCTCAAAAAAGCTTTTTATGAGTCTTGTAAAGACTAAAAGCCTTCATTAATGGTAGAGTGACAAGCAATATGATAATTTTTGGATTGGGATGTGGCAGAGATGGCTAGCTGTCCACCTAAATCAGTTCTTTCCTTCCATAAGATACAGTTTTACAGCTCCAGGTTACATTTTTCAGATTCCCTTGCAGCTAAGCAGGTATGAGTGGAAGTGGTAGATGCCACTGTCCGGGAGGGGGAAATTTCCCCCAACCCCTCTTGAGTTCTTGTGGCTGGACTAATAATAAAATTAACGCAACACAGATTAACTGGAGAAAAAATCCAATTTAATACGTACACACAGGAGATCATAAAAATAATGCTCGGAAGTGACCAACGTAGGCAGCTTTTATATTTTTTACACAAAGAAACAGTAAATTTGTGAGGATTTGACAGGACAAAGAAACTTAGATTTGGGTGCTTAATTAGGAAGGAATCTAAGCGGAGTTTGGGTTTGGGGTAGTAAATTAGTAAAAAAGTGACAAGGTTTGTTTATACAGGCCCCTCTGCTCTGAATTCCCTATCTCTGGTGGTAAGGATGTCTCTCTGTCTCCTGGTGTGGGAGGGGTACCTTTCACATGGGAGATTTATTTCCTGCTTTCATGGGGAACAGAGAGGGTCAAAGTGCTGTTTTTGCATTGGCTGCTTCTTAAGTAACTTTAATTCAAAATAATCAATATGCTGTTGTGGGATATTCTGGGGGCAGCCTGCCGTGGGCCCCACTAACGCTTTTGAGTCAAGATTGCAAAACTGCTCTGAGTCGTAGAGACTAGAGACGGAAAGTCAGAGGCCAGGTGTGCGGAGTGCAGCAGGTGGAAGCAGAGCTGCCCGGGACGTGGAGAGTTGTGACAGAGCGTGTCTCAGGGATATTTTATCAAGAGTCAGCGCTTTTAGGAAGCAGGTGCGCTGCTGCTTTCGTGCTTGTTTTCTTCTGTCAGCTGGGTGCAGGGAACGAGGATGCTCCAAGGCAGAGCTTCAAGATGGGAAGAGCCAGGACCCCTGAGTCGGCCTGGAGCAGACTGCCTGCTGACTGGGACACCTGCTGTGGAGGTTTACAAGAGCAAGAGAGAGGCTTCTGTTGTGCTTGGGCAATTTCTAAGTCCACTTGTTCTAGCAGTCATGGTATTAGGGCATTACTTTCTTGTTAGATTGGTTCTAGCCACTGTGTCCAAATCTAAAAGGAAGGGCAGATTATGAATATGTAGAAAATTAGTATTCTGCAGTTTTACTTCTCCATGTATATAATTCTTTTATCTGTTCCTCAGAATGTAGAACGTGATTTGACAGAGTTGGAACATTTTATTAGGCTGCAATATTTTCTTAGAGGCGTAATCTGCAGGAGGTTACTACTTATGTGTGAAAATTAGTAAATGAAGTCTTGTGATGCCATCTATGGAAGGTTGCCAGCAGTGGGGAAGGGACTGATTTTCAGAAACTCTTGTTTAATGATGAACTTAGCAGTAAGAATTCATATCTATTTTTATTGATTTCTTAGAATTAACATAGTTAAAAAATTAGTAAATGAATAAGGTAATGCGATGCAGTTTTCCAAACTTAAGTCATTTACCTAACTCCTTCATTGCTTTTGCTGTATTTTATACCACAGTATTGTATCTCACTTTTTTTTAACTTAGCCTTGTCATAAGAAGTAATACACGTGGAGTCATACGTTGCTATGTTATTTTTTCCTAATAGACATTCAAATAATACATACTTATTTAAAAATCCTTACTTGTAGTACATAACTTTATTTTAAATGCCACTAGTGACATTTCTGTCATACTTGGGATATACTGTTCACATAATGAATACTGTTTTTTAGTATCTTCAGTGCTTAATCACTAAAATTCTAATAGAAATAAATGCAGTTACATGAAACTAGCAGACATACTATGTCTAATGGGGCTTTGGTTATAGCATTTTCCTATTGCAGAGATTAATATTCTGGTTAATGTCTACTTTTGTCAATGAGGGACAACAGAAACAGTGCATCTAAACAGTTTGAGAACAGTGTTAAGCAGGATGTGCTTCTAACTGTAGTGAGCAATGGGCCTAAGGAAGTGCTAATGAACATGAAATTGAAATGAAAATCTTGGGAAGTACTGATACTTTTGGTAGAGAAAGAATTTTATGATAATCCCATAATCCGAGGGTGAAGAACATAATGAGACTTGAAAGGGACTGAGAAGCATTGTTAGATTACTGACTTAAATTTTAGGTATTTAAGGAAAGAAGTTCAGTAGGGAAATTATTCACATCTTCCTCCTCTTCTTCCATTTGCCCATATTCTTTTGTTCACTTAAGAATATGTAAGGTGCCATCCTGGGGACGTTTGCTATCAGTGTCAAGCAGGAAAGAATGCTTTGTTGGAGGGGGTGCCTTTACATCCTTGGTAGCTGAGGAAGTGCCCAAGCACTTCTCTCCTCTCTCAAATGGTTTTAAAGTTCTAGAATTTACCTAAACCATTGGATTTATATATAATTTAAATTTTAACCTCTTCAATCATTTTGATAAGTTTGTCTCTTGGTGTATAAATTAATACTTTAAATTTGTTCTAAACATGTCTTTAAGTTGAAAAGAGAGTTGCTTATTTCAAGTGTTCCGGAATTTTGTAGACGAGTTTTATATGCTATAGACATTGAGCACACTGAAACTTAGTCTCTTTTTGGTTTTCCTTTTGAAGAGTCTAACTTCATATATAGTCCTGTGTCCTCTCCTGACTTCCTTTACCCATTTTTTATTTTTGAATTCATTAACACCCTATACTAGCAGGCAGGATAAATAAAAGCAGGCAAGATAAATAAAGGAAAGGTGATAGAATTTCAGATGAGTTAGTTTTGTAATTTATACCAGATCAGTTAAAACGAAGGAGTGTGTTAAAATAGTCAAAGAATAATCATTTAAAGTTTGGAGATTATCTACTCTTTTCTCCTTTATAACAATTAATTGAGAGTGATATGTGAGAGACACTGACACAAGTTTAGTGAAAAGCAGCAAAATGGAATTCAGATGGAGAATTCAGGGGGAGAACCTGAGAATGGAAATGTAGTTTTGCTAGGGGAAAACTAAAGGAAAGGGGATAAGGAAAGTTATTATAGAAAAGTGATAGCATTCTGTAATGAATGGCATGACGTTTATAGAGAGAACCTTCTGAGGTAGTGAAAGAACCTAAAAATGTGTATGATTGCAAAACTGCTCTGAGTCATAGAGATCTAGTCATGACTAGAGACGGAAAGTCAGAGGTCAGGTGTGCAGAGTGCAGCAGATAGAAGCAGAGCTGCCCGGGACACAGAGAGTTGTGACAGAGCATGTCTCAGTGATATTTTATCATCTTGTGCCTTTTTGCATCACGCCTTTGCTAATCAATTCTGATTGCCATCTTGCATCCTTTTGCTTGGGATAGGAGAAAGGTTTATCCTTTGTAGATAGCTAATTAATACCATTGAAATTTTATAAAATTTCAACACACATTAGCCAGCTTTGCCAGGAATAGGAAAAATCCTTTAATGTGTGACATTGTGTTTGCGTCCATGTCTACGAGGACTGTTTTAAGGCTGGTGTGGGAACCACAGCGGACAGGAATTGACAGAAAAATTCCAACAAATTGGTTTTTTTTTAATGGCAGAGGAGTTGAAACTTTTTAATATAGAGACATGGCCACACCAGGAAGTATATAACGTGCAGTAGACCCACAGTTGGAGGTAAAGCTTTTTGGATTCCTGGGCGTCTTCATGGGAACCATTAGCTACTATGTAGAGTATGGTTTTTGTCGGGTCTAAGAAAACTCTTGTCATTTCTAGGGAGCGTTATATTCTTTTGACCCTCTGACTGTTACTGGAGATGTTACAGAGGTCTTTGTAAGCCACATGTATGCAACCAGCCCACCTTCTCATTCATTTTTTTCCCTTTTTACTTTCTATTTGGAAATTATTTCAAAATTATTAAAAAAAAATGTGAAAATAAAAATAGAAAAAGAATACATATATAACCTCTGTCCAAATTCATCTATTGTTATCATTTTGCTGGATTTGCTTTATCATTTCCTCTCACTTTTGCTGTCTTGGGTACACTCTCTTTACATACACATGTGCACACACACGCTCTCTCAACTTTTTTTCCCTGAAATTTTTGAGACTAAATTAAATACTTCATGACCCTTTATTTATAAATACTTTAGTGTATATTTTCTAAGAATAGGGATATTCCCTTACATAACCTAGTAAAGTTTTCAATTTTATAAATTTACGTTGGTACTTGTATTAGTCAGTGTTCTCCAGAGAAACAGAACCAATAGGATATATGAGGATATATATATATGATGAGATTCATTATAGGAGCTGGTAGGCCACTACCTCTGGGAGTGGAAATGCTGCTGCCACTAGGGGTGGGGAGACTTCTTCCACTGGTGAAGAAGACTCATTAGAATTTAGGGACTCAGTGTTCCTAGCTTCTTCAGGGTCTTCCCATACATCCCCATCCCAACTTATAGAATCCCAGTCTTTCCTCTAATCAATGCCCTCACTTTATCAATAGACACCCTGCCAGTCTGAGAGTTCAGTTTGCCTTCTAATTTAGCCAATCACAGAATGAGGTTCTGTGTTTGATATTCAGCAGTTTCAGCCCAGCAGCTACAGGAAATCAGACTCTCCTTCCGGGCTCACCTAGAAGCTCTTAGGTCATTTATGCGGTGCTTGAGCTGGGAATTCGAATCACTGAGCTTGTTTTCTTTCACTGCTTTTTCCCTGATATTAGGGCCAACCAACCAAAGCCATTATTATAGTCCTTAAGTTTTCCAAAAATGTTCATAAGTATAATATCCAGAGTCACTTAGCTCTTTGCTTCTTATAAGTGGTTGGTTAGAAGTATCCAATGCAGATATTTTGTGTATTTCTTTAAACAGTTCACGCCATAGACTATATGTAAATGCTCTCTTTACTACTGGAAATAGAGCCATTAGCATCTTTAAATCTAATTAGATTAGAGACCCAATTCTAGAAACCCCAGAACCAATTCAGAAAACTCATCATAAAGATTCTGTTCCTCTAGAACCAGGTACCAAAATATAGTACCAAATCTGTATTAGTCAGGATTCTCTAGAGAAACAGAACCAATAGGGTATATATAGATATATATATGTAAGACGAGATTTATTATAGGAGTTGGCTCACGTGATTATGGAAGCCAAGAAGTCACACAGTCTGCTTTCTGCAGGCTGGAGAGACAGGAAAGCTGGTGATATGATTCAGTCCGATTTCAAAGGCCCAAGAGCCAGGATCGCAGATGTCTGAGGGCAGATGAGGACGGATGTCCCAGCTCAAGCGAAAACAAAAGCGGATTTGCCCTTCCTCCGCCTTTCTTCTGTTCAGGCCCTCAACAGAATGGATGGGCCCACTCACACGGGAGAGGGTGATCTGCTTACTCAGTCTACCAATTCAAATGCTTATCCCTTCCAGAAACACCTCACAGACACACCCAGAAATAATGTTTTACCAGGTATTTAGGCATCCCTTAGCCTAGTCAAGTTGACACATGAGATTAACCATACAATCCCTTTTGTCAGTCGACCTAAAATGTCTTTAATAGCATTTTTTCCCCCTGCCGTCACAGGATGCAGTCTGAGATCAGGTACTGCATTTAATCGTCATGTCTCCTTAGCCTCCTCTAATCGGGAACATTTCCATAGTCTTTCTTTGTCTTTTATAGCATTGACACTTGTGAATATTGTAATCCTCCCCACTTTGATTTTTATTCTTTAAATAAAACTTCCCTCACTTTGTGGTTGTCGCTGTTTCCTCTTGCTTAGCTGCAGGTTTTGCATTCTCGGCTGCAGTGATGCATAGGTGTCCTCTCCTTCGGGCGCGGGGGTGGGACGGGTTGTGGTGGATATCTGGAGGTATATACCATGTCTGTTTGCCCTTCATTGAGGATGTTAATTTGGCCACTCCTGGCAAGGTGTTGCCAATTAATCTATTGTACAATTACTGCATTTTTTTCCTTCTCTTGTGGCTAATAAGCAGTTTGTGGGGGAGATGCTTTAACACCATTCAAATGTTCTGCATATCATAATTAATCCCCCTAGATTTAGCCCATTGATGATCCTTGCTTGCTACAATCTTTGCCAGTATAATTTTCTATCTTCTGTACTTCCTCCATATTTACCAGTTGGATTTCAGCATTCTACTGTAAACAGTCATCCCTTTGCCCCATCAGTCCCTCTGTCTGTCTGTCCGTCTGTCAATCTGTCTGTCTCCCAATCATTGATATGGACCTATTTTTTCCTACATTTAATAGTTTAATGGTGCATAATTATCTTGGTGCTCAAATTGTCCCACATTTGGCCAGTAGGAACCCCTTCAAGCTGACTCCTGTGTCTTTGTCACATCATTTTTTTAAGCATTTCCCCACTTTTTGACATAAGATGCTCCAGGTTCATCTTTTACGTAGCTTGCCCAGCCATGGAATCTCCCAGATCTCTTTTAGGGGATGGTATTAGCTGCCAAGACCTGGGTGCTAGGTGTGCTCATGCTTACTGGTCCTTCTTCCCCCATTCTCCAGTTGAGTATGAGGTCGGAAGAGCCATTGGTAAATTTCTTGGTGTCCCTGGGTGTTTGGTGAAAACTAGACCCCAAGCATCTCTGTATGTTAGAACAAGTCACCTTCTAACTTTCCTTTTAATGGTGGTTTTTGATCCTCAATTAGTCGAGGAACCACAATCATAACTT